ACAGGTCGGCTGTGACTCAGCCCGCCAAGGGTGATGTACACCGCTCCATCCTCATCGTGACCTATATGGTCCGACAGATTACACCTCACAACATCGAACGAACAAACCCAGCAGGCTGGCTGCATCAACAGCAGTGTTGGACTCAGGGATGTACTCAGGGACGGTACCCTCCAAGGCCTGAAGCCGAAATTGCGGAGACCTGTGGCAATCCCAACTCACTGCATTCAGGCAACAGGCCACCCACCAAGCCCTGACATAGCTCATGGAGGTGAGAAGAGAACACGCCTCCCAGTGGTGATATACAGCGACCATCACAGGTTCCCAATTTTGGGCATCGGCTGATATCAGACTCACTACTCCAGGCTTGTGACATGGTTCATACAAGTGTTTTTTCTCATGCCATTTGCTCACAACCTGCATTTCTACATCTTTTCACGCCTTTCAGCCTACCTGTTAGCAACGACCTCACTCTACCTGTGTACAGTGCATTAACATAGTGGGGAATGGGGACCCAGTGGTCTTATAATCTTGGTCATCTAGTCAGGGCCAGAGTAAGAGTCCAGTGGGCCTGGTGCTGACAATTATGAGGGGCCTAAGTACAGAATCTTATTGACCAAAAACACTAAAACAGTCATACCTCTCAAGCATTATGTACCTGGTGGAGATGTTGCCGGAGGGAAACTCATAGGATGCAGCTATAAGAAAACCCAGATTCTCTTAAAATATGGTAATGTCTCTCTAACTCATACTTTCAAGTAAATCCATATCCCCTAACAGCATTGTCCAGTGAAGCAGGAAGTCAATGGGCGGTGTAAAAGCGTGGGCCACTGACGCGGATCATGTAATCAGAACTTCCGAAAGGGACGAACATGCCCAAAAAGAAGGCGTGTCTGCACAAAGAATTGGAAGGCTAGCCTGGCATGAATACATCATGCATGCTGGCCAACAGTATCCTGAGCTTGGAATAAATGTGTTTAATGATGCGCTCGCTCCATGCTGTCTAAGGACTGTCTAGTACTCACATGTCAACATGTCTCCTTACCTTCTTACTAGCAGGCAGAAGCTCCTGGTATACAGTCTGAGATACAGAAAAGGTGGATGTAGTGAGTGTAGAAGAAAGGGAACATTCCACAGTGTTAGAGACCAAAGTCAGCATTACCTTAACTAATTACATTTTTGAGCTAGTCCACACAAGTTTTGTTTTCATATATCCCTCTTAATTTTCCATACTTAAGCAAGAGTATGTGAAGAATTGTTAGGGTTGCCACCAATCTTGGAAAAAAATTCAGGCTTTACTAATTTGCATAACTAATTATGTATGTGTGACATCACATGATATAAATTCCAAGGAGTGACATAAGAGAAAATTCTGTGAAATCACCAAAAAAACACTTACAGTTTGATTCTGCTGTATAGATGGATTGCCCCCAGTGTCTCTCTGTCTCCCAATGTCCCCTAGTGTCTGTGTCCCCATGTCACTAGGGGACACCGAGAGACATGGGGACACTGGGAGACATGGGGACACTGAGACACCAGGGACACTGGCTTGGAGACATGGGGAAATTGAGTCCCCAGTTTTCCCAAGTGTCTCAGTGTCCCCATGTCTGTCTGTTTCCTCATGTCTCAGTGTCCCCATGTCTCCCAGCATCCCCTAGTGTCTGTGTCCCCATGTCTCCAAGTGTCCCCACGTCTGTCTGTTTCCTCATGTCTCAGTGTCCCCATGTCTCCCAGCATCCCCTAGTGTCTGTGTCCCCATGTCTCTAAGTGTCCCAAGAGGTCTCCCTGTGTCCCCTAGTGTCTCAGCGTCCCGAGAGGTCTCCCTGTGTCCCCTAGTGTCTCAGTGTCCCCATGTCTCCCTGCAGCCTTTATCCCATCTTTCACTTCCCTGAGCTGTAGGCTGTCTCTGCAGGTTGTGAGCTGCTGTCTGCACTCTCTGTGCTGTGTAGCTGCTCCCCAGTGGATCAGTGAGTAGAGAGATGCTGTAACCTCCTATCCCTGCCCGCTCCACACACACACAGTGACCCCTACTGGCCGGTGATGGTATTGCAGAGTAATCTCTGTTTATACTGAGAAAAATACTATTTTTTTTACTGCAATATCGGCACCGGCCAGGCAGCCTCAAATAAATACAGACCAGATGGCAACCCTAAGAGTAGGGTGTTTAAAAAAAAAAATTAAAAAAAATTTAAAAAAGTTTTTTTTTTTTCTTTTTTATCCAATGGGCCTATAGCTGCAGCTCTACCAGCCCCTATGTTAATCCGGCCAAGCATCTAGTTTGTTAAACAATGCTTCATGTATGTGCCAGTATGTCCCTTATTGCAAACCCTAGCCTATAACCTAATGCACATACCAATCTTGTCTACCCATGCAGGGCACTTATTGTCAGTTTGAAGCTAATGTTTTATTATGTTTTACTCTACCAAGACAATGTAGCTATTTCTTGTTACCTTGTCTACCAAAAAAAATAAATGAGTGCCGTATATCTTGACGTTAACTCTGCACTTTAAAAAATAAAGAATGAAAAAAAAAAATGTAAAATGTGCTCTGCATGTAAAAACACTAAAAAAAAACTAATGGGAAACCAGAATTAAAATAAGTCAGAAAGGACACAAAAAGAGGTGTGGAATGTCTCAGTGTCTCTGAACATTTTAAAAAGGTACATGGGCAAGACCCAAGTGGCCTGGAATTTTCTGAGATTAAACAGGTAAAGATTGGAGAGGAGGTGATTTTATTTGGAAGATTGGACAGGAGGAGATGCGATGGATTTTCCAACTAGAGACTTGAGCCCTGTCCAGTCTTCTGCATTTATTTTTCTATATTTTAGATATTTTTTTTTAACTTTTATAGTGTTTTTTGTATTTAGACACCTCTCATCTATCTATATACATACCTGTTTCGTCCTGTTCATTTTGCATGGTTTTATGAGTTATTGCATATATTTTATTGCATGAGTTTGCCCATTTTTCCTACCGTTTTTAATTTTTATTCATATTGATATTTATATATTTTTTTTTTCTGTTTTCTCACACAACTTCATTTATTTTTTTTTAACATACAGGAGAAGGTCATATTTGTATTTTAATAAGTGAATTGTTTTGAGAAAGACAATCTTTCCCTTTTTTTTAAGTCTGGTATAGTAATGGGGAAATGAACATAGGTTACTTGGTTAACATGCAGACGTTATGCATTTCTTGGATACGATATTTCCTATATAAATATTTTATGTAAGTAGTGTGAGGTACGTTTTAATTCCTGATTAGATTCCTATTTTGTCCCCTTTATGAAATAGTTCTAATACTTTATCCTTATAACATTACATTTTTTTGAACTGATGAATTAAGGACTTTATTTAGACTGGATAAACTTTGGTATTCCAGAGACCCCTCTGTGCGATGTGGAGATTGCTACATGCTATTGAAACACGGCAAAGAGCTCTGCAAACTAAAGACAAACAGTAGTGGGAGCAGATACTGCTCGTTTGAGAAAGCCCCAGGAGCAGGGGCGAAACGAGTTACGGGACCACAAACACGGAAATGTTTGAAGCTTGCACACCGGTGAGACCAGCCACGGTCGGAAGGACGACGGCGGCTACATCCTAACTGTCCTTCACTACCAGAGGGCTGGTGAGCAGACGGTGGACTTATTTTGGTGCTATATGTGTTTTAAAGGCTTGAAATAAAGTTTTTTTTTTACCTGTAACTCTGATCCCCACAGCAACTGTTGGATCTCACATGCTCTAGGGACTGATCCTCCCTGGGCGTTTTAGCTTTGAGTGGGGCTATTACCACTCTCAACTTGAGAGTTCAATACCTACAGAGGTTTTATACATATTTGTTTTATTTTTGTAACTTTATTGCACTAGGAGTGCTTTCTGTGTTTCTTTTTGTCTCCGATTTGCAGATACCACCAGTGTATACTTACAGAATTGCAAGTATATACACGTGTTATATTGTGGGTTAATATTATTTCACTATTTTGCATATAAACACCCAGAGAGCACTTTTGCTACATAGTATCACTAAGGGTGGTCTTTTAAATCTTGCGCACCAGCACTTTTTGTAGTTATTTAGTATATATGTTTGTCATGGAGATTTTTTACCTACATATGTCCACTTCAGTGGCAGAACTAAAGTAGAGAGAGCCCTGGTGCAAGAATCTGTTATGCGCTTCCCCCACCCCCATTGCAAGGTAGGCCAAAAGGTAGATTCCCACCTGTTGTACAACTGTAAGCTTATTTTTGTATGGAGTGTGTGAATGCAGTGTACTTGTGTGTAGTGTTGACATTTGAATGCTGAGACATATGTACATACACATATAAACACACACTAAAACACATAAAGATACACACATACACAGGTACAGACATGCAGATACACAGAAACACAAAGGCAGACACACTGATACACTTACAGACACAAATATGCAAAATGTACATGGTTTAGTCACCAGTTTCCTACCTTTTGGGTGCAGGAGGGTGACTTCCCTGGGGTCCAGTTGGCTGGTTAAGGCTGTTGGGAGTCAGAGGATCTCCTACAACGCATTCCCTCCTCTTTGCCTTCCTCCCGCATGGCGCTCTGAGAGAGCTGGGAGGACGTGACCAACTACCTCTTAGTGCTGCCACCTTTAAATGGGACCGGTCGCGCAGTTAAAGGGCCGCAGTGCTGTCCGGGCCCCTGAAGACACCTTGCCATCAGGTGGCACTAAGTGCATGGACCACTGGTGAAGCACACTTATTGTGCAAGCTGTAACAGTGTCAGGTTGAATGTTAAGGAACTCTACAAAGCAGGACATTTTTATGGGAATGCTTGTCTATAGGGAGTGCATGGCTATATGCTTCATTTAATGGACTTGTCAGCACTGGGTGTGTGTATGCTACTCAACTGAAAATCAGATTAAAATGAGGGACATCAGCAATGCACAATACAATATACACTGCTAAAATGAAATATATTCATCTTATAAGAATATTCTACTGGATCAAAGAATCAGTTTACACAAGCTAAAGGAATCCCACTTATTTTAATGAGAACAAAGTCCACAAGTACATTTGAAAAACATTTTTCTTCAAGACACATCAAAAGGAATGTGACATATGTAATGGAGTATCATAAATAATAAACAGAGCCTCTCCAATTAACTGGTTCTGGAATTTTCAGGATAAAATGAGGCACACATCTTTACAGTTCATAAAGGCTTACGGCTAAAGCTGGAAAATCGGGAGAGCTTGATCATATTGCAAACAAAAAAAGCTTGTAACAAATAGCATTTCGGAATTTCATAGTGTTTCAAGGATTGGAGTGTTACGTAATTTAATCACTCTGCACAGATATGAATTACTGGAGTAGCTCCTCCCAGGATATGGGTTTAGAAAACACTTCTCTTTCCAGCCAGAGATCATAGTTCATCTGAAAGTCCTCTGGCAAATCCACTCTCTGTCCCAATACACTCTGAAGACAGTTATCAACAGGGAGAAAGTCAGGATTTCTGTGAGTCCGATCATAGCGCCGCGAGTTGAAGCGTTCAATGTTGGCTCTGAGAGCACATTCTTCTGCTTGGAAATCCCAAGGACGTGCATCCAGGTCTAAAGCAGAGTGAGAAGAAAAGACATAAAGGCAACACATCTTACCATGCATAAAGGTAGCAAAATTTGAATAGGATACATACCATTCCCATATGCCCAGTCATCATTGAGACGATGCCGAACTTTCTGATATATGGCAGACATTGTTTTCATATTGCTTTTCCGCCACTGCCGTCCTAAGTACTTAGTTTGGACTTTAAGTAACTTCAGCACGTACAGCTGCATCATTGCTTGTTTTACTTTTAGGGCTCTCTTAAGGATAGGAGCAGACTTGAAAACTACAAGCATCTATAAATAAATATAAAAAATAAAAAATCATGCCCATGTTAAGCACCAAAAACAAGCGATCTACTAATACCCAGTTTTTACTCACCATTGTCCTTGAGTGTTTCCACTTTGTCAACTTGTTCAAAATGCGCAGAAGATTAATGCAAGAATATAAATTTCTCCAACAAAACCGATTGTTGTCTCCTGCTTCCTGCAATAGAAGGCAGTTGCGCCATATTAGCAAAGCTGTTAAAGAAACATTTTTCCCTACTTGCATTTTAGGAATTCTCCAACACAATTTAAATCATGTATTACTAAGCCATATAACAACTATTTTCCAGTGTTCACGCTGTGGCAGAGGCAATAAAGCCCTTGAGATCAGCCCTGGAGAGATTCAAAGAAAAAGACTTACTAAACTCTCAGCAGTTAACTCTGGCAGCTCATGGACAACGCTGTATGGATAATCCAAAACTGAAATACTGTAAAATAATAAAGTTAGTGCAAGTTAGATCTAGCAGTGTGAATACGAAATCAATGGTAAAAAAAATTTTTTAAAAAAATTCTGATTTTGTTTTTTACATTTAAATTGGATTTATTTTAAGAAAATGCTTTTGGATGAAAGAAATCTAGAAAGTAAAAAAAAAAAAAAAATCTAAATTGTTTTCTATTGAAGATACATTATAGTCCAAATATTATTTAGCATGAAATCTTGATTAGTTACGAGGCTCTACATTCATTCAAAATGTGAATTTTTTTTGGTAAATGAATTTCATTAGTCCAAGCTAAAAGGGTTCTCTAGTGCCAGGAAAACAAAACAAAACAAAACAAACAAAAAAAAAGTTTTCCTGCCACTGTAGAATCCTGCAATGTCCCCCTCCCAGCCACTTAACTGAATCCAGCATCGATGTCCCTCGGCGCTGGGTCAGGATCCACCCGCACTTGGACGTTGGCGGGGGAGACCTAATGCAGCAATGGCCGCACTTGCATTAGGATCTCCCCAAAGGAAAGCATTATTCAATGCCAGAGGTCCTCACGCATTGGAGGACATCCAGCACCGTTTAGACGACCAAAAGTCGTCTAAGAACCCAGAAGTCCCTCTGGTAGACTGCCACTAGAGGAGGACTTAAAACTGCATAAATATTTTTATTTGGAATATACCAAAATCAGTTTTATATAACTGTTAAATGATGTTAAAATGTATTAGTTATCTGGTTGAAAATATTAAAATTATAACACCTAGCAAGAATGAGTCTTTATGTTTAAAAATCCCATTTTAAATCAAGTCTTACTTACTAGTGGTTTAAATTAGCTTGATTTAAATCAAATCCACCCTGGATTTAATGTAGCCCATAGGTAGTTTTTGTATTCATATTAAGAGCCCCGGGGTATTCAAGAGGCTGCACTCTAGTTGTTCATCTTCAGCACCGTTATCCTTAAAGTATAGAACTATAACAGTTGGTTAGCTACCTGTTGGCAAACCCTGTATTAAGATAAAGTCTTTGATTACACTTTTTGCCCCTCTTTCATTTCTTAGCATTATTACCTGTTCTTGGCAGTAATGTATGACATGATATTCTGATTAAAAAATTTCAATATTAAAGGAATACAATTAGCAAAAACTAGATGTTGTGCCATGTACTCCATCTGGGGATAGAAGAATAAAAAAATAAAAATAAGTAAATATATGCATAAAATCACATATAAATGGCATAAGTCTTAAAATGAAAAAATATGGAACATACATACAGTAAGTAAACAATGGAGTAGAGAAAGAAGGATTATGTTTATTATAAGCAAATCAATAAATATACGCATATACAAGCAGGGTAGATGGAATGTGTTACTTAAAACCGTTTCTCTACCTGTGCAATGGGTACTTCGGAAATGGCCAGGAGATTCCTAAATACTCATATCAAGCTTTCCCTTACAAATACGGCAGAGGTATGCGGTCACTTTCCAACCCAATATATACACACAGTTCACAGTAATTCTACTTGAAAGTAAGTTCATGTTACTTTCTTTTAACAGTTTAATTGAGCGCCCAGTTCTTTTTAGAAATGTGAGATGCTAACAATTAATGCAACATACCCCATTATAGATTTCAAACTTCTATTTTTGAGCTTTGAATATGGTGGAAATTCGTGAGGAAATTATGAAAAGGCTGGTTTCTAGTAGTATTTATTTATTTCAGTGAAGTGGGTAAAATGCAGTTTAAATTGAACAACCTGTATTTGATATGCGTTAATGTTATATGGGGCAAATGTACATAAAATATTTACAGCTGGAGTAATAAGATATATGTGAAAAGCTACAAAATACACTATAGCGTAGACAAGGCCAATATAGTGTTACAAGGAGATACGTAGTGAATCAAGATTATCAGTATATCACTGATCATCCATGGGGACCTGGGGAGACTGACATAGTAAGTATTTATAAATTAAATACAAACCTGATAAACATGATTTAGTTTGAAGTGTTTCAGCAACAAAAGCAACACGGCAGAAATTGCTTTAACAATAATCTCTTTGTGCCGATTTACGTCTACTCCTAGTTTCATGCTTTGCAGTACTGTGGTCCTAGATAAAACCAAATGTTTAATATTGCATACGTAAAAAGGTGAATTTTTTTTTTTACAAATATAAAACTGCCCTTGACTTACGGCATTTCTTCAGGTAGCACATCTGCCAGAATATTAATGGAATCTGTTTTGGCTTTGGAGGTAGGAGCTGCAGCAAGCAGGATCTTCAGTAAGGCAATCTGAGACATTTAATAAAATATAACGCTAAATTAACGCTTAAGTGTAATTGTCTGTAATTCAAAGTAAATTTCCGTTTTTGGGTCATAATAACTGATCTAACATCAGAGTTGACTGTTTTTTTTATTCTTATTTTACAAAATTAGGTACCATAGCCTAACATATTAAATTCACGACATTTCAACTTTTAGGGCATCAACCTGGTACGTAAGCAGAAAGAAACAGTCATGAATTGAAGTGTGAAAGTTTGAGAATTCAAAAATAATTGCAGTTTTTAGGTCTTAACAGTTAAAATGGAAAGAAAAATCTCCACGTCAGCTATTTGGCCTAAAATCTGAAATTGCCTATGTGTTTTGCATACTAAAATACAAAAAAGGGACAAATGAAACAAATTAGTGTGTTGGTTTTCCACCTAGAAAGGATGTATTTAACTCTATTTTTATCATTACATCAGACGACTGAAAGCCAAATTAGGAGTTCTTCTTGACACAAGCAAACAATCTGATAAATCAGCTCACAAAGAACAGAAGATAAAATTCTGCTTCAGTTATGATGTATTGCATTCATTATCTTGATTGATTATGAGACCAGGATACCTAGGCATAACAGTGTGTGTAACTTGTCTTGTAGTAAATATATTTCATTTATTTATATAAAGTAGCCTGAGAATCAGTAGCTCAATGTACTACTGAAAGACGCTTAAGCTAAAAAGGTAAAATCAATATAAGAGCAACCGGTCTTATTTTACGATTGACACAGTACAAAGCAAATCTGTGTAATTGTCACAATTCAAATAAATGGAAATTGCGGCACATGGGTGCAAGTATCATTAGGCATGTCATATTTACCATATACTGGGGCAGACTAGGAAGGAGTCCTTGGTACAGTATTTCTGCAGAAACTTGATCTACCTCCTCTTCTCCCTGAATTCATGAAACAGAAGTCAGAGATACAGAAATGCAAAAATAAAATTAAAAAAAAAAATTTAAAAAAAAAAAGAAGAGCACACATACCCCAGACAGAGGACATCTCAAGAATTCTTCTTCTAGCCTTATTTGAACCTCTGCAATAGACGTGTATTTGTGCTGTGGTAGACAAAAGCAAAAAAGGAAGACAACATATGCCTCATAAGAATAAATGAAAAGACTAAAATACAAATGCTTACATTCTCAGTATCCCAATTAGCTATTCCAGGGCAGATGCAATATGCAGATTAGTGTTTATTCAAACTTCAAAAACTCACCAACTTTAGGGTGCGAATACTTTCATGAATGGGACGTGGTAGCCCAACCACTGTGTCAGTGTCACTGGGGGAAGAAAAAGGCACAGCATATTAACACACCAATATTCCTACCAAGTGAACTAACGCCAACATCCGACACATAATGCAACACACATCCTACTTTGAAATCAAATCCATACACTGAAAAACACACATATCATTCAACACAGTTAGATCCAAACACTCACCTGCCCAGAGTGTACCCAATGAACTTACTACGACTGGATTCCAAAAATATTTCAATATCTTTCTCCCTGCAGGGATGAACCATAAGAAAATAAAGCACAGACTAGACAGAAAAAAAAAAAAATGAAATGAAAGGAAGAAAACTACAGTATTGTATTTCAGGAAGCAAACACTCATATAAAGTCATAAAAAAGTACAGTGTAAATGGTCTCACCTAACTTTGGGTGCCCAAGGTAAACCTTTTGGGAATGCTAAACGATCAGTGGAAGGATTTGTTACTGGTGGAGGCATAACTTCTTCCCTCTCCAAAGGAAAAGGTTCCCCCTCAAGACTGTTATCTTCATCATTTTCTTCTTCTTCATCACGAGAATCATCTGTTTTGTATGGGTCTCGCTCATTAAAAGCATCAAGGTTATCCTGCTTAATGAGGGCCTTGAAAAACAAATGAACAAGCAGACTTGCAATTAATTTATCTGCACCTTCCAATATAACAGCTAAAAATGCCCATTTCCCAAACTCCCCAGCTTTTAGTCAACAGCTAAACTACCAATATAATCCTTCCTTTTACCTTATGCTCCCGTCGACCTCTCCTTTGTTGCTGTTCAATTAAGTCAGATGCAGATGCTGGAGGGGATGCAGCTCTCATATTCCGAATTACTTTAATACTGTCTTCAGGAAGTGGTGGAAGGCCCAGCATCTCTCGCTTTTGAGATTTCAACTCCAGTAGCTCTTCAAAGCCACCAAGGGTGCACTGCAAAGGATGTAGGACATCAAATACAAATATATAGACAAATTATTTAAGAGCACAGTATCATACTCACCAACACAGTTTTCCACAGGAGTAGTAACACTTTCTTCATGGGAAAGTGAGGGGCATGGCCACTGCAGAACTTTGTAACCATACCAAAGAGCATCACAGCAAAGGGTTCACTGTTGTACAGGGGGGACCCTGTAGTAAGAAAATTCAACACTTCATAACCACTGTTTTAAATGTGTTTTAACAAAAATATGAAAAAAAATACACATTACTGAAGTTCACAATGTATTATGCATGAATACTATTTTTTTGTCAAGTCATATGTGTATTGCATGACATTTGCAAAGTTTAAAAGACACTTCACCTAGTTCTGAGCGGAACGTCTGCCTCATGGCTTTCCACTCTGCACTGTCACCTTCTCCCTCTTCACGCAAAGTGTCCACCATCAAGTACATAATGTTCAACAGAACTCTGCAAAGAAACATGCAGACAGCATACTGAGCTACAGACCTTTTAGCAGCACAATGAAGAGGAAAGGGAGAATAATGCATACTAAAACATACAGGCTTATTCATGAAAGACCAAATGGCCCCGTACTGAACAGGGTAAATCCATCTTAACAGCAAAATTCATTAACAATGTCCAGATTTTTCAATTCAAGCATCGAATGCCGGATAGCTGAAATTCGGACCCTATCTACTAAGTTTTTAAAACTAGCAACTGGCCAGTCATTGCTGCCCAATAGCTAGAAAGGGTCTTTCCGGTTATAAAACCCCATTTATTGCTGAGTAACTGCGGAGCAAATATGGATTTATTCTTTTGCATCTCAGTTCTGAATTTTTCCAGCAGGGTATTTTGAGATTAAATTTTTTTATTTTTTTTGCATTGCAGGATTATGGATTAAAAAAAAAAAAATTTTAGGGAAGAAGATTTGGACAAATGAAGCCTTCAGATGGTGAGAATCATTTATTTCTTTACAGATATTAGTTTTAATACACCCTCAGTATTACTCAGGTGAGCAGGTGTAGGTAAGGCTAGTTTACTTTAAGAGTGGTTTGTTAGAGGTGGGCCATGCCACTGGGGGGTGGACGAGTTTCTTTAAATTATTAAGAAACCCCCACCTGCTGCTAATGGGCTGGGGCTGGAGGACACTGTGCACCCTTCTTAAATCATTATAGCCCTAAGCTCTCATTAGGTCACCCCTCTGGCTATATTATATTAGTCCCCGCCCAGCAGGTTTACAACTTCCTTTATAATAATATGGGTGCCTTACAGACACCCATAGGCCTTTTTATTTATTTATTTTTACTAAAAATTTATTTTTTTAAATTAAACATTGCATTGCTGAGGGTTTTTAACATTTTTCTTCTAGTGCTGCCAGAAGCTAAACAGAACTTCAGATGATCAATTGACTCACAAAATACAACTGAACAATAATTAGTGAATGTGCATCTTACCGGATTCATTCAATTACGAATTTTGTTAATATTTGAGATTTGTGCATATTCCGAACCCTATTTGCATAGGATTCGGATGTCAAAGCACGGATATCAATCCGGACACAAACTGCATCCAGGTGATTGCTGCAAATTTGCTCCAACTTTATTGGATTTACTAAATGTGAGAATTGCCGTTGCAGTCAGAATTCGGTGTTTACTTAATACGCCTAACAGAATTTAAAGCAAAACAGAGTTTAGAATACATTTGCGTTTAAAACTAGCTACTTCTTCCTTACCGCAAGTCTGTGCTGTCAGCTAATGAAATAGCAGGTTTCCTCACTGCATTACTGCAAGCTGCACTGTTTCTAGAAATATAAAACATTAAGGAATGTTAAATATATAAAATACATTTTTATAGGAGCAGGCATTTGGTATTTGTTTTGTTTGTCAATTGTGAAGTTTAACAATTGTTTTGTCAGAGGGACATCTATATAGGAGGGTGTAGTAATGTGACAAGATTTCGTACTCACTCTACTTCCATGTTTAGAAGTTCTACGAGAGCATTGAATGCGCCAGCTTCCAGCAAAAGAAAGATGTTATGTCGTACCCATGTCTGAACTTCAGTTTCTGAGGTACAGTCCCCAAAAGTACCTAAACAAGAAGAGAGGAAATGGATATGAGAAACAGTGTTTAGAGATCACAGGCTAAAACAAAACAAAGTAGTAGACTAAACCAAAAAATTCACTGGAATGGTGTAGAGCTTTGTTAATGTCAACTGCTCACCTTGTGCTACATAGAGAATAGCCCGAGCCACCCTAAGTCTCTTCTCTCTTGCCGTGACTTCTAGTGCATCCAGAAGACGCATAGTGTGTGCACGCTGCTGAGATATGTCTAGCTCTGTCCATTTCTTATCAGGAACTAAAGGAAACAAATCATGAAAACGAAATGCAACATGTTTAAGATATTTTTATTCCTCTTAATAGCTTTGCAGAGAGCTTTCCGTACTTTATGTACCACTGGTTTGTGCACATATACACTTACTGCCATACAGCATATCACAGGAACAGAGCCTCACCATGTAATCTGAAATCCACTTCAAAGCATTTCCTGTTCAGTTGGAATTCTGGACCCTCTGTGTAACTGTACAGCTCTAGAGGCACAAAGAAACATATATAAAGTAATTAAAAAAACAGGAGAGAATAAAATGCCACAAACATTTAATCTGTAAAATATAAACTTGTTTTAATCTAATGATTCTTATAATGACAACAAATTGTGAAGATGCTGGATAAACTGTATGCAAAAAAATAAATAAAAAAACAACAACAAAAAAAACCAACAACTTGTCAGACAGGAACACAAGGACAATACGTTTTGAGAGTTCTACAAATTTGCATACATTTAAAGGGAAAATGACAGGAGGTTGTGTAGATATATGTTAAAATCAAGATTTGGGGAGTTATTGAAAGTTTAGCATGCAACAACTGCAGATCTAGTAGCAGAAGCTACTCCAAGGCCTTGCCTTCCCCATTGTTCTTCATCTGTGCCAGGGAATAACCTTTAAGATGCTTCTCATATTGAAGCCTTGCAGACCAGACGCACACGGGTATGGCTGTCCAATCACAGACTTCTCAATCAGCTATGTTACAGCTCACTGAGAAGCCTTTGCACGGCTGATGTGCTCTGGGCAAGCACCTACCATTTGTGCTGCAGCACTTTTATGAAATAAAAAAAAGTTTTAAAAAAAGTGATGCACTCTTCACATAAGGCATTTTAGTAAGCTAAATTGCTTTATAAAAGTATGAAAATCTGTAATTAAATACCCATAAAATAAGCAAATATTCTAAATGTTGTTCCAATGAACAGCTGAGTGAAAATGCTCTGACTTATATACAAAAAAATGGATCATGTCAGTTTAACCCCTTAAGACCAAACTTCTGGAATAAAAGGGAATCATGACATGTCACACATGTCATGTGTCCTTAAGGGGTTAAACAAATACATGGTTCCAGTTTATGAGATATGAGTGGAACCTATGTCAGCAGTTCCCTACCTGATAGTTCTGCAGCCCATTTGTCCGCATCAGCATACACAAATTCAAGATCTGGTGACTCCGAGTAACCCTATATAGCAAAAGTATAAATCAAAATCACACGATAAAAAATAAAATAATAAATCTGAAAAAAAAAAAAAACACCATCAACAATTTAGGATTGCCATACATATCACATTTGGAACATATGTGACATTTTAAAAATTAGCAGGTACTGAAAAAGAAAATGATTTGACATGTACAATCTCTATAATACTTTACATTCTTTCATCTATTGTAGAACTTTCTCCCAGCTATTCCAAAAGTGAATTACTTGGACATAATTTATTAGCACAAAGCCAGAGCCAGAATATCACTCATAAGGCAACATGGCAAATGCCCAGGGCACCTGTTTGGGCTTGGCGCTCTGGCTGTGAAGTGGCCCTCCTGAAAAATATCTCCCTTCTTAGGAGTCCTGCGGTCATAGAGAAAGTGCAGCTACAAGTATTGGTGCAGATCACAATGCTCCCCCCCCCACAGAACCACAAAGCATCCTGTAAAGAATGGCCTCCACTGGACTACCATATAGAACAACTATCCTCCTGGAAGTAGCAGGAAGGGCAAACAAGAAAAACAAAAAAACAAAAAACACAAAATCTCTAGCAATCAACAACCCCTTTTTCAATATATCCCCTCACACCAGTGATGATGCTCATTTCTCCCCTTCTCATCTGCTTTTAAGAGTATACAACAGTTTTTTTTTTTCTTATTGTAGCAGAAAGGAATAAAAAACAAAATTTTTGATGGAGCATTTGGTACATGCTTTGTAACTTTTTAAGAATTAGAAGGTTGAAGAAAAGAGATGACTTAAATGCTCATTAAAGTATGAGTCAACATCTATTTCAGGATCATTGTTCTAGTGTGCCATTCAAATTACATTAATATTTATCACAGGGCTTAAAATGTTGAGTTCTATGCTACTTGCCAGGCTTTGATCGTTACTTGCCACTACAAGCCTGAATGTGCCATGGAACATTCATTAGAGGTGAAGTTCTACTCACCAGGGCTAAATTTTCAATTGCCAATGGTTAGTCGCGGTTGGTAATTTTAGGCACTCTTATCGGAACACAAGTTATATTAAGAGTCCCAATATAACTACTATAGCTAACAGTAGTGGTTATTCTGCAACAAATCTGCAGATGTCTTCCCCCAATTTGTGTCAAAGTGACACAAACTTTGACACAAACCAGGGCTTTCCCTAAGTTACATCAAATGCTTCTGCGGTGCCTTGACTAATGTAGAAATGTACTTCCGAAATAGCCCACTAAATTTTAGAGGCAGTGATTAACAGAGTTCTGGGGTGGATTAACCAAAGTTCATAACCACCCACAGCTAGAAGCACTCTGACAGACTCTTTGCAATGAGCTGTTCTGATTACAGAGAACTTTTAAGATATGTAAGCAGTCATATAAAAAGATATTTAACAAAAAACAAAAACAAATAAACATAAAAAAAAACAAAAAAAAAACACAACAACAAAGCAGGTTACTCACCCAGCCAGTTTCTCTATGGCCACAGACTCATGAGACAATGCAAGACACCTCAAATGTTTATAATTCTACGTTGCACTGTCACTTTACCATCACCTTCTTCCTCCATCCAAATTAAAATCACCAAACACCATAACCACTATAAAGTTATATAGTGGTTATGATGCCAGGAGTGCCCTTGCACCCCTCACTCCTTTGTAAGTAGTCAAACTTTTACCTGGGGTCTGCTGTTAGCCGCTTTACGCCTCAACTACAGCTCATAGAACGCTGGAAGCTCTCTGTCTGAGCTAAACACTGGCTGTGCACAGCTGAGCTCAATGGCTGAGAACAATCAGCTGATGCCTACCTCCGAAGAGCAAACTGAAGCTCCCAAGCAGGACCTTATGGCTCTTTGTCGGCTGTAGTGAAAGTGAAGGGCAGTGTCTTGAGTACCTCATGTAAGAAGTCAAACTGTTCTAAAATGGTTTGACTATGTACAGTGAGAGGTACTCATGGCACCATAACCACAACAGCATGCTGTTGTGGATATGGTGTTTGGAATGTTACTTTAAGGGCAAACTAGTCAAGCGGCAAACAAAATTGAACAGGTTTTAATTTTGTTTGGATTTGAGCTGGACTGAAGTCTCCAACTGGCTGAAATCCTGTAGGCTTCACCTCGGGGCCCAGATTAAAAAACAAAAAAACAGAACTGTTTGCCCGCTAGCAGCCAGAAAACAGTTAAAAACCCTTGTCAGGACTGGTTGCCCTGTTTAGTAGGTATGCCCACACCTGCCATGAAGTAGTCAAACCACTTTTACCTGGGGTCTGCTGTTAGCCGCTTTACGGCTCCACTATTGATCCTCATAAAACGTATTTCTTATTCAACTTTTTTAATGTGGCGGCTGGCTAGCTGCACTGGTCAGCCGTCACATAATTAGCCTTTGCGCCGTTGAGGATTTTTAACTATTTCCACGCTGGGTTTCTAGTATTGCAAGTGGTCAATTAGCTCTTCAAATGATCAATTCAATTGCAAAAAGCAAGTGAATGACAATTTCCTGGTGTGCATTCTGCCAGATGTATTTGGTTGATCATCGTCTGCCATGTTGTTGTTCATAAATCTCTGATTCCGATGATGTAAATTGGTTCCGATGCAGATATAAGTGATTCTCCAAACTCATCCAAACCAAAAGAATCCTGACTGTATCACGTTTAGTAAATCTGAGACTTGCCAAAGCTGTCTGAATCTAATGGTTTTAAAATTCTGTGTTTATTTAATAACCCTATCAGCCTCTTTGTTGGACAAATAAAAAAAAACAAAAACCTTAATTGTGTTATTTAAAAACAATTCCATTCCAGAACACATTTCCCCCCATGACACCTGTAAACATTTACCTGACAGATAGCTATACTATCACCTACCAGCATAAAACAGTTATCTGCATTGAAATAGGAGCCCAGAAATGTTCTACTGAATATATTACAGTAACATTTGAAAGCATTCACTTTTGTTTCCACAAGCTCCACACAAATGTCTACACATACATTATAGGTAGGTGCATGTGGCTGGTTTATTAACATATTGCAGCCTATATACCGAATATTGTGTATTTGGGACCAACAGATGTTTACACTGGGGTGGGGTTGCAAACTGCCTGCTGTATCATGTACATTAGACACTATATAAGCTTAGGAAATGTGTGTGTGTTGTATTTTCTCTCTCTCTCTCCCCCCTGTCTAACCTCGGAGTCTTTGCGTTGATTGCGGTTATACTCTCGCCCTTTGCCAGGTTGGGGACTTCCAACTGTAACACCGCCAACTCCCGTCCTCATCTTGTTATTCACCGTCAGACCGGAGGCCTCCATCTTCCACCGGTGGCGACACCCCCGTGACGTCAGTATCGCGAGCAGCCAGAAAAAAAGCTACTTCCGTACAATGGAACGCAAACATCATCCTGGCAGGAAGCGAGCGGCCGCGTCATCACTCGTCGCCATCAGTGGCAGAGAGCTGCTGAATTACAAATCTTTATTTAAACATTCACAGTGATCTCAGTGTATGAGTAACAAGGAGTGAAATCACTCAGTACTGTATGTAACAGAGTTTAAAGGAATACTGCACGGGTGGCATTCGTAGCTTAACGTGTTGGGTATATTTTTATATACTGATGCTGTGAGAACTCACCCCCACACATTTTATTCCCCTTTAGCGATGATAAAAATCTTTCTGGACCAGTGGTCCTCCCTGAAGCCATGGTGGCAAGAGACAGCCAATAGGGGAGCCACACTTACCATAAGTCCCTGTGGCGGCAGTGTTCCCTGGCATACCCTGGCATATCTCTCACTCTCCAGGGAACAAATACAATATAGTGGGAAAGGAGCCTAAAATTGTTACTGCCCTGCTGGATTTAGTAGACCTGCGTTTACAATAACACAGAGAGGGGGAGATACAGCGCTCAATCAAATGCATCAGATTCTATTAATTGTATACCCTAACAATCCAAGAGAAAACAATAGGTAGAAAACCTATACTTAAATGCTCCAAGTATACATTTAAATAAGCATGGATGTATATGGGAGGTGTATTACAATAAATAATGTTTTTACCCTCAAAATGTTATATTATCTTTTTATCCTGCATTTATTTTATCATCTTAAAGGAGCCTCTCCACAGACCTTCACAACATCTACCTCTACTCATTTATATCCTTGGTGGGGATCATTCCACCTAAGCTGATATCATTCAGCTTAAGGTGCTCTTAAAATTGTGAGTAATTTTCATACTTTTCCACACACATTTATTCGTTTGAAACAGTGAGCAATATATCCTGTTTTTATTCTTTCACATGCCGCTTCCACTGTCAACACTCTAAGAGAAAAAAGTCCAGTTTCATCCCTGAGTGGGGGCTTTTGACTGAACTACACTGAAGCAGCACCTCCTCAAAGGGTTATAGAAAAAAAGACCCTTGTTTTATTCCTCTGGGACTTTTTAAGTATATCTAAGTTATTTCTATCACTATTTGGTTTTAATTTCAATTTATACTTGGCGCAAATCAGTTTTATCTTGTTTTCTACCTGTGTTTACAATACGTTGGAAAAACAGAAGGGGGGCATTGGCCTTTTCAACCAAAATGGAATTAAAGAAATTACTTCTATTCTTTCCAGTTTAATTATGGCACCTACACACAAACTATGCCCCACAGTTAACTTAAATTGGATTTATGTTCTCATGATCATAATGTAAAATTAATTTTTAGCTCTTGTGTATACCGTTTGCACCTACTGAAAACTAAAATCATGCCTCCAACACACACATTTCTCAATCCTTTGCCATTCAATACCTAACATAGGTCCAGTTTGACTGACTCAGTGGTGCTGTAAATGATCCAATTTGGAATACAATAACCAATCTGGGACAGACACCAACAGTCCTTATGACTTCCAAAATCACCATTACCTTTTAAGAGTTAGCAAATATGAATTATTGGATTTCTTTCTCTTTGATTTTAAATAGTTTGTATCACTGCCACGGGGAAACATGCTTAGTTCAGACATAACCAGCTCTCCTCCATCAAATACCCTCCAAGTGGTCACTCTAAATGTCCAGGGCCTGAATTCTCCTGAAAAATGCTCATTGGCCCTAAACAATTCCATAAACTGAAAGCAGACGTTGCTTTCCTCCAGAAAAACCCACTTCCGCAAAAATGTAGGCTTTGCAACCGAAATGACCCTCATGGATACTTTAGCAATTTCGCAGAAGCCAAAACCCGTGGGGTAGCTATTCTAGTGTCAGCGCACATCCCTTTTACATACAAACCCCATGAGGTGGAAGACAGTGGGCGGTTAATAATGGTGGAGGGTCTCATAGGACACAACATGGTGACTTTTGAAAAATTTGATCTACTAAACAAAAATCAGGGTAGAACACTACTTAAACATTTACATTTGGTGGGAAAATTTATTGAAGGAATTTTAATTTTAGGAGGAGACCTCAACATCTCCTTAGATTCTATCTTAAACACGACCTCACACATTCCACACATCTGCTCGACAGAGAGTTAATCACTTGCTAGACGAAGCCCAACTATTTGAATGCTGGCCGATCACACATCCAAACATGAAAGACTATTTGTGACGGACTGCCTTGCACCCCAAACGGGTACCTCCGTCAATCACTGCTTTCTAGTACTTGCGAGCACCATAAGCACCATAAGCACCATACTGGAACACCTGATCTGGGTGACTAACATATCCAAAAATTGCCCAGATCAGTTCAGGGGTTCAGGAATTTCCTGGAAGTCTTATTTTTGACCCACCGTGCACATGGTCCCATGCCCAAAACAGTTCCAGAGAATTAGGGCTAACGGTCGGTCTCTCTGTCTGGAGTACAAAAGTACATACTTCACATGAACAGAGCCTTTTAATGTGCATTGGGCAAGGTATATTGCAGGGCCCATAGTCCTGAGGCAGAGGTTGGCCAGCATGCCCCTCCAAGAACCTGTGATGAGGTTTAGTTCCTTGCTCTGTGCACCAACCCAGGTTGCGGGCTGTCATGCAGGCCCCACAGGTTGGTAGGTTAAGCGGTCATCCGACACCCCTGCGGGTGTTATAGCTCGAATTTGGGCTCAGTTCTTTTGGAGGAGTATAGCCACGTGGAGGTGAGGTACCCCTCCAGCCCAGTGCCGTGGGAGAGCTGGCACCCTCTTGTCATGAGCCTGGGATCCATTGCGGTCCAGGGTCCTCCCTGTCGGGATGGTGCGGTGGGTCTTGCTGCCATTCGCGGAGTGTTGTTTCTTGTGTCCTGTGGCCCTCCGCTTGTGTGGCCGGTACCTATGGGTTGTGACCCTTGGTGCTGTCAGCCTGGGTGGGTGTCTTGCATGGGTTACTGAGATTTGAGGTGTCGCTGTGCCCTTAAGAGGATTCCCAGGTCTCCCCTTGCTGCCAATGTGGTCCCGTGCAGTCGATTCTTCAGTCATTATAGCCAGCCTTGTGCGAGCCAGCAGCCCAGCCCAGAAGAGTTCAAAGATACTGTCAAGAGTGTCCCTTACTTTGCTGCTGGGGCCTGGCACATCCGGTCACTTCGGTTGCATTTATCTGGGTCTGATGGGTCCGCCATTTTGGAGGCCTCCGCTCCCCCGTAGCTTCAGGACCCACAAGAAGGTAAGGGGCATGGGCTACTCCATCTGGCGGGGATTGGGATATCCCCCTCCAGTCCATCGGGGGGAGGAGCATTTCATGCTCATGAGTGGCTCGTGGCAGTGGGAGGAAAGCGGCGCCTTTCCCCTCCACCTTCACTAGTAGGTCTTAACTTGTCGCTGTGGGTCCTGGTCGTTCCGGGTGTCGAGTTTGGTATCTGAGGGTACCAGCAGATTTCCCCAATCTGTATAGCTTAGTTTGGGGAGATTTCCACCACAGCAGTCCCAGATTTTGACGTGTAGTGCCTTGTGCAGCAGGAACTCATGCGAGGCACGTCTTGTCGGCTTGCTAGTCAGGCTCCGCCCCCTCCCCGTTATGTTTTTTATATCTCCTTATGTACTTGTCTGTTACATTTTTATTAACCTATCTTTCTTACAAAAATTTGTTCCAAACTCTGTTATGCATATCATATCCCTTCTCTTTTTATGATTTATGTATTTACTGTATTAGTACTAATTTTTCTCTGTTTTCCCTTTATATTTATGTATTTATTGGATTAGTCATAACGTTCCTTTGTTTTCCCTTTATATAGAATATTTCCCCGTCTATACCATTTTGGACCACATAGGACACTATATTCAGGTCCTCAGTCCACCATGTTTTTGGCTCCCTCTATCACTCCAACTTGCACCATATTGTTGGAGCTGCGGCTCTGTTACAGAAGCTTTGTTTGGATGCCCCACACAGTCAGCGAACGTCTCCATATTCACAGAGAGCTCCTGACTGTTTTTTATATTCTTTTACAAAACTCATGTGGCGAGGCCTGCGCGCCATTTTGTTTTCTGTATTAAAAGGTGTACTACCCGTGCTCTAGAGACTGCTGTTAGAGAGACTACAGATTTATTTATTTTTTTCCTAAAATAATACATTTACTGTCATGAACAAGAAAAGGTTTCCTTTTATTTAATTCAGAGCTTGAAGCCTTTTCTCATGGCACAGATTTCTCTGAATGCAAAGTATATTTTCATCGGTTGGATCTCTTTCTAGGTGTAATTTCTTCTAGGCTTGACTATCACTTTGTAAATCCAGAACATTCATTTTGAGGTAGAAGCTTGTAACCTTTCTCCAGTTTCTGCCAAGCATTGCTCACAAATAGTGATGTCTCGAACGGTTCGCGAACGGTTCGCTGCAGTTCGCCACGAACGGTGCATCTGATGGTGGTTTGCAGCCAGAGCAAGATGGACATGTCCAAGTGAAGCTCCGCTGAGACCACGAGGCCAATAGCTAACATCAGCGAGTAAACACTAACCTGAACGGAAAATTCACAGGGGAGCCGACATGGATAGACGTGCCCCGAAGAAACAGCCTAAAAAGCCGGCGGAACGGGGTAGCACGGTGTCCGATATGTTTGCGGCATTCCCGCGCCATGCGATCCAACACCCAAGATGGCGGACGGGAAAGCCCGATGGCGCCGCGCTCACCTCCCAGGCATGGCGGCAACGTCTGAGGTCTCAGAGACCAATACTGCACAGATCTTGGCTAATTTGGCGGAGGTACGAAGTTACCTGGCTACCGAGATCATGAGAAACACCAACGAAGTGAAGGTGGAAATCCAGGCCTTGGGTGTGAGGACGGCGGTGCTTGAACAGCGGGTGGAGTCCACGGTTGTGGTTCACAACACTGCTACAGCACAAATCAATAAACTATCCTCTAGATTGGCGATGGTGGAGTCCGCACTGGATGACATGGGCAATAGATCCCGGTGGAACAACGTGAGGTCCCAGTCATTTGGGGATATTGTGACTTGGAGGTCTGT